AATAATAATAATAATAATAATAATAATAATAATAATAATAATAATAATAATAATAATAATAATAATAATAATAATGCGTGTGTATGCATGTATTTACTTATTTATATTTATATTGTATATATTTTGCAGGCCTGATCTTACATGGAGAGATATGCAATACCTAGTATTGAATAGTGCAATGACATTTAATTTAGAGGATCCTGATTGGCAACTAACCAAAGCAGGGCGACTTTACAATTATAAATTTGGATATGGAAAGTTGGATGCATATACTTTGATCCAGAATGCAAAAACATATAAACTATTGAATCCACAGGTTAACATTGAGATGCCAATAATTAACGTTACTAAACCTATACCAATGAATCAAGAAGGAATTATTAGTAAGGTGGTTGTGAAGAAATCAGATGTTGACAAAGCAAATATGAAAAGATTGGAACATGTAACTGTGACTATTAATGTTATTCATGAGAGAAGAGGTGATATAGAGGTTGATTTGATAAGTCCAAATGGTATTGTTTCTACCATTGGATTACCAAGGATGTATGATGAAAATATCGGTGGACTTAATAATTGGACATTTATGAGCGTTAAACATTGGTTAGTGTAACTGATGTTTTTGAAAAAATTTATTTTATTTATTAGTAATTTTAATATTAAATACTAAATTTTTAGGGATGAATCACCAATTGGTACGTGGACGATACAAGTTCGCGATAGAAGAAATCCAAAATTTAATGGAATATTTGTAGATTGGATGTTGAAATTATGGGGCGAAAGAACTGATAATAATGAAAGTGGCAAAAATAGTAGTGATACCAACAATAATTCAGATAAAACCTCTACTACAATAATAACCAATACCACCCCTTCAAGCATTGCAGAGTCAATATTATCTTCACAGACATCAACCAAATCAACTGATGATAATAATATCAAACCATCACTACCAATACCAATACCATCATCATCACCACCAGTAAGTGATGACAATAATAAGATATCAACATCTACAATACCATCATCACCACCAGTAAATGATGACGATAATAAGATATCAACAACAAACAATCCTATTTCAACAGAAACACAACCGGCTACTACAAATGCAGCTGATAACAACAACGATGATAGTAGCAGCAGTAGTAGTAACAGCATCAATAGTAATTGGATTTGGGGTATTGGAGTAGTTATGGCGTTTACATTGGCATATATGGTTTATGCGACTAGGAAATGGTATTGGGATGATGTGAAGAAAATAGTATCTGAAGTATTCTCTAGGAGAACATATGCATCGGTGTTACGACAGCCATCTGATCGAACATCTAATGATGAGGATGGTGACCTTATTCCATTGACAAGAGGCAATAAACAATTCACGACATCAAGAGAATTGTTTGATGCATTCGGAGATGAGGAGGAGGAGGAGGAGGAAGAAGAGATGGTAATGATGGGAGATCGACAGGTTGTATATGAAAATTCATATATGGATGGTTTTATAAATGATGACCATATTAATGATGATGATGATGATGATAATGTTGGCGGAAGTGGCGGTGATAATAATGATCAACAAAATTAAGAGATAGTAAGCAAAGGAGAAAATGATGATACATAATTACAACAAGGACAATAGAGTAACAAGGATGTCATGTGACATTTATTTATTAAAAAAATAACGTAGATTAAATTTATAGAATCTTATTTTCATTTTAAAAATATTAATATTTATTATTACTAATGTTTAAGCAAGAAATTAAATTAATTTATAATAATAAAATATAATACCACTTTATCACATAATAATAATCGAACAATTAAAAGTTATTTAGTGCACATCTTCGAAAAGATCTCGTATTTCTCTACTCATTGACAACAATGGACTTTCTTGATCTGTTAACTGCGGCATTGGAATAGTAACACGATGTTCATTATTAAATGGTTTTTTTCTATTTTTACTCATTAATTATGCTGCTGGTATTATTTTCTCTATCACCAAAACACCATTCCGATATATAAAAAGTTTTCCTTCGCTATTTTCAAATTGATTCATGCCCGCTAAAAACGAATTATTTTTCGGTAACTTCGACTTGGTTCCCTTGAACGGGGGGTTTTCAATGCGAGAAGTTTATTTTGCAACAAAAATTATTTTTTTTCTAATGACATACCGATGGTGGTGGTAATATTGGCTTGATTAAGGAAAATTGTTAAGGCTAATTGATAATGCTATATATGGTTAATAGAATATTTTGAAAAATACTTTTATTATTTCGAGATTCACCAAACATTATACAGTCATACCTCTCTCCACATATGTTGGGAACCAATTTCATAGAAAAATCATCTCCATATAGGGAAAAACCTCTCTACAAGAACATCTGGAATGTTCCCGACAATTTTATGTTAAACTAAACCCTTTTTATTATTCATTAATTACCACGTTATTTAATGGAGACATTAATGTTTAGCATGTTTCAATTACAAATTTAAAACACCACTAACCAATTTAAATAAAATATCATTTTCAGCCATTTTATTGTTCTTGGAAATTGTCCTTTGTTACTATTGGATTAATTATCCAGTGTTGATCATTCCCGATTTATTTGAAAATATATTTATACCTAAAATTAAACTGTAATGGAAAAAATGCAAACTTTATATTTTTCATTACATATTTATTTATTTGGCGCACAAATCAAATATATACTTTTTTGGCATAACTCTCATTTATTTGTAAATTGTTAAATTTCTGATTACCCAAGAATGACTTCAGACACGTAGAGAGTAAATTCGTCATCATAAATATTTTTCATTTCGTTATTAACAATAATAATAATCCAGGAAGTAGATAACTTTATTATTGATTATTATTACCAACTCTACCACTTTTCGTAAGTAATTATTACTTGATATTAAAATATAAAATGAATCATCGAATTCTTCTTCTTATTATTTTTTTGTTTATTCTGCAACCACATAAATCATGCATATACCCAATTCGATTAATTACATCATAGAATAAAAGCATTAAAAAAACGCCACCAATATTTTGAAATGAAACCTTTGAAATTTGTTAAATTAAAATTTATATCACAATAATAAATAACCTTTATACTTTTTATATTTTAACAATGATCAATGTGTTGTTACTTAATAGACTGCGTGTGAATAAACAATATGAATCAAGAAATTTTATCAATAATAGGAACATAATACTTATTGTTAAAAATTCCCACTCTTCGCAACATAATAAATAATAATATGAAACTATTTACGCTGACTTCTTCCCTTTCAAGTTGGTTATAGAACATTCTGGGTATATTTTCAATTAATATAAGTATTTTAATAATTTTTAAAAATTTTTTTTTAAAACATATTTTAAAACATGAGATCTTCATTTGCACTTGAACTAGAAGTTTTAAACAAATTGAGGGATGCGGGGATTGAGTGCGAACATATTGGGTGAGTGTTTTTCACAGAGTTATTTTGTCGAGTTCTTTGATGATGACACATTATACTCATTATTATTGTTTATTGTTTATCTATTATACAGCGGGCCGGGCGACATGGGAATCGATATTAAAGGAGTTGCCTGCAGCATCCCGTTTGTTGTACAATGTAAAAATTGGAGAAAGAAAATAGGTATTATATCAATTATTTATGCGAATCACATTAATTAAGATAACTTTCAATTAATTAATATCAAACATTTGCAGGTCGTCCGGCGGTGTACGAATTGGAGGGGGTTCTCCTGAGGCAGGCAAGGGAGACGATTGGCATCTTGGTTGGCCGATCGAAAGAAGCTGGCTTCGCGCCTAGTGCGTGGACCGCAGCTAATACGTCGGTATTCGATATTGTTCTCACGGATGTGGCTAATATTATAGAGGATTTGTCTTTAGTCGCTGGTCGACTAAATGATAATTCCAGAGCTCTTAATTTATTTTTTTCTTTTTATTTTTTTTAATTTTTATTTATATAATTATTTTTACTTTCTTGTATATATTTTTTAATCGTAAGTCTTCGTCCGTGGGAACACTATCTTATATCGACGTTTTATCTGATTCTTTCCCCGCTCATTTCTTGTATATATTTTTTTTTTCTTGTATATATATATTTTTTTTCTTGTATATATTTTTATTTCTTAGTTACATAATACAATTATTTCTTTGGTATTTTATTTTTTTAAAAAAAAAATCGTGCGTATCCAATGATCAATCAAGTGTCGTTTCCAGGCGGTAATTGTTTTAAAATTGATGCATGTAAGGAAGAGATAAGGTTACTGTGCTTAAATCCGCAGTTGATTAAAAAAATTTTTGAGAACAATTTCATTTTGAAGGTTAATAAAATAAAAAAGAATTATAAATATAAATAAAATATTTCAATGTTTCTCTTCATTTCAGTACCAAAAGGACAACATTTATTATGTGAAACATTTTTAAAAAAATAATAACTCCTGCGAATGAGTGGGTAAAAAACAAATGATGTATATGTTTTTACTTATTTTTTTAATAGAATTACAACCAAGTCAAGCAAATGGTGGTGTGGTGTAGTGTTTAAATATTAATATACTTT